TGGTTTAGTGAAGGGCTGAAAGGAGAGAGAATTTGATGCGCCATCTGTCGCACTCGGTTCCGCACACTTGCCACCTTCGATAACATCATCCGAAGACACGGCTGTTGAAGTAGTAGTGGTTGGAGCACTTTTACCACTGTCGTCGTTGTTTGCAGCATTGCCATGAGGCTGTGGTGTGGCCCACCAAACGATGCTTGTGGCAATTTTGTACTTTAGGATGCGAGTTCCATCATACACGAGCAGGGTATAAAGACCGGGATTGGAATCGCATAACCGTAGCAGATAGCTGAACGGACCGTCTACAGACAATTTATGCGAGTTAAATGAGCATCACTCCAATTTGATCTTTTCACAAAAAGTGAATCCTTGTTTCTTTTCAGTAGGAATACAAATTATGCACGCTAGTAACCCTCCTGCTCCTGAGGTCAAGGCGAGGGCCATAACCGCCTAGTGTGTTCCAGCCGGTAGTGATAGACTAACGTCTATCCTCCGCTTTAAACTAGCATAGCAATTAAGCACCAACACACATGGTCATTCTTTGTTTGAGGTCATTATTAAATAGCCGCAATACAACGAGGAGAAAGTAAACAGTATTTTCATTGTGGCTTGTCGTGCGCCTAGCATCTGCCAAGTAGAAAAATCGATCACCAAAGCCCAAATGTTCCACTATGCATATTTACGACTTTTGAAAAATCATTGAAATTCAAATTCATGGCCTCTATATTCATAAAAATTTTAAGGTTTTTCACATAAAATATTTGGATCATAAAGAGTCTCCAGCGGATAGGTTTATGTGAAGAGTCAAACGGCCTTAAAACACTTTGCGAGACGAAATGTCTTTAGCATGAGGAAACTTAGTGCCGACTTTTCCATAACTGCCGTAAATTTGTAGAATAATGTGGCAAAACGTCAGCGCGAGTGGGGAACATAGGTCTTTGCCGGCAGCCAGCGCATTGTGGAAGCGGCGATGGTAGCAGCCCTCCCCTTCCCAACCCATATTTTCGGCTGGGGTGCATGACAAACACAACAGAGGCCAATCAGTAGACCCATCAGGGTGGACAGTGAAAACACTGCTATCATAAATTTAGTGCTCTTCAGCCTTAAATAATTCGGGATGTTTAACAAATGCAAACCGTGAGAGCCAAAATTGCTACTTAAAATCTTATTGGTAGCATTTATTATTAACGTAAAACATACTTCTTTTCAGTAGCTCCTGTTGTTCCAGAGAAGTGCTGTCTTCGTGGAAAAACGACAGCCGTTCAATAATATCCGGATACACTTTCTGAAATGAGATTAAAAACTAATTCAAC